GTGAGAAATGGATCCCAAACAGTATTCAATGGTATGAATAGCCTGATGAATGAATACATCTCCAAAATTAAAGCCCTCTTCACTCTCTTCATGTCCAGCTTCAATTCTTGTTGTCCCATCTTCATGAACTACTTCACCTTCATCTATGGCTCCATCAGCAGGCTTAGGACTACTCATCTGTGCATCAAGGTTTAGTTATTTTCATGTATCTGTTTCTAATCTAAGATAACTTTCCATTTAGTTCATTAACATTCTTATAACTACAACAAACACACTAATCTTAACAAGCAAACTTCATGTTTCTGTAAAATTGAAATAAAAATATGAAATAAATATTTTATTATTAATTACTGTATATCTTTAAAAAGGAAACTAAATATTTTTGTGTTTTTTGTTTTTTTTGTAAAACTGCCATATATTATTTCAAAGAAGGAAATTGATGTAAAATTAGCAAAACAACTCTGCTGAAATAAAGTACATTGTATAAGCCTATTTTTTCAAAAGTGAAAAACATTAGAGATTCATCTTAAAAACATTGATATACTTAAATTAAATCTTATACACCAATGATAAAACCTACAAGGTGGGGTCGATTAAGCCACTGCCTGCGAAGAATGAAAGGCTTCACAAATAGCATCCATGGAATGCAAACAATGGCCAAGATCACAAGGATTGCTTGGATTCCTTCCTGTAACAAAAAATGAACAAGTAAATCCTAGTATTATGTGCAGTTGTTTACCTAAATAGTGTCATTATCTATTACAAGCAGTAATGCTCTCTCTTGAAGAGCAAGTGGTATGTTTTGGTTTGTGACCTTTTAATTTATTTTCAAATTCTACACAAACAGTACTAACCATTACTTCCTACATTTCAGAAACTGTTATACAATAAGCTGGGATTCTCAGTTAAATCCAAAAATTACTTAATTGGATATTTAACTACCTTTACAAATTTCCAATGACAGGTAAAAAAATTTTTCGGGGTGGGGAAGGAGGAAAACTGACCATGAGCATTATTATTAACTTAGCTGCTCTAAAACTTTTACTATTACAAAACTAAGTATGAAGAGTTTGTCATAATTTTCTTATTAAAACTACATTATCAAAATCATTGGGATAGCATATTTTGTCAACAGAATTCAATTTTGACTTTAATCACAGCCTGGATCCTGCTAAAATTACCAATAATCACTTGTAGATGTCAGATGAAATATACAAAGAAAACCCTTGCAAAGAAGCTATAATAGTGGTGATACTTTACAACCCATTCTATTCAGCCTTCACACTGTGTTCAGTGGTTCAAGTAAGTTCAGTTCATGGTTTAGGAGTGGTAGACAGATTATGGACTTTTTTTTTTAGCATGCCACTGCTGGCAGAGTGTATTATCTTGCAAAAAAAAAGGTATGGTTGATCCTTACAGAATTAATTTATATGTACACATGCTGCATTATTCAAAATATGACAATAAAAATGTGTCATTCAGATATATTGATAATGGTTGGAGATGACTTGAATGGGTAATGAAAAAAAACTTTAATATAAGTTTAACATAACAGTAAATGTACAATGCTTCAACAAGGTTGTACAACGTTGTACATTTGCTGTTATGTTAAACTTGTATTCAAGTTTTTATTCATTACCCATTCAAGCCATCTCCAACCATTATTAGTCTCAAAGTGGGTTCCTCTTCATTGAATAAGATATACTGATGTCTGACATATTAGTAAAGTATCCACACAGCACAGGTTCAGCACTGTTAAGCAAGAATAAATGGAAAATGGACAACAAAGAAAAAACAAGCAAATGCCAATAAACATCTTTATTCACAAAAGTGTAACATGTTTTAAAAGTTGCAGAAATCCAAAACTTGCGAAGCATCAGAAACCAATAGGCCTAAAACTTGTGATAAAACTATGTAAATAGCAGGTGTTTATTTCCCACATTCCTCATAAATGTTCGAAATGCTATATTTTCCTGTCTCTTATTTTCAATCTTAAATGAGCAAATTAAAAGGAATGTGGATAAAAAATATGAAGTTTATGCAGTTTTTATTACAAATTTTAGACCTATTTGTTTGTATTGTATTTTACCTAATGGCCAACTTCTAACTGTTTTACTCAAACTGGCTATCGGGGCTCAAAAGGTCTTCTAAATGTCTACAGGAGATAAAGACCTAAAAACTTTTATGATGCTCTGCTATTAGCCAGCTGAGTAGAAAAAGAAAAATGTACACAACCACCATAGAAACTACAAATCCTCTCTATTATTTTCTTTAAACAAAGTTACTGTTAGATCTTTAGACTCCAGGAATGAAGCTTGAACTGGAAGCAAAATAAACAATTTTCTGTGCAGAAAACAATGTAATGTAATATGTCATTTGATAGACTAAAACCTTGGCTTTTTATTGGTCATAAATAATACAGTATCAAATGTCAGAGACAAATATTGACAATTTCTAAAATAGAGGATGTGACAGGTGGGTGTGGCAAGAGGGGCTGATTTTCTAGTTTTTGGCTCTGTAACCAAATATGATTGAAGGCGATAACAATTATGTTTTGCCTAAATGATGACAACATTATAATGAGTAATTTTTGTATTTCTCAGAGTGGTGGTAAATAAATTAGAGAAGAGGGGATACCTAGAGAGCAAATGTCACAATTCTCATACTAGGGTAAATTCAGGATTTTTCTTTAATATTGCCTTATAAAATTAAGATCTCAAGTTATATACTATTAAAATATGGATTAGTAGCTACGTTTCTATGTTATACTTATTGTATAACTCGCTAAAATCTCATGACCTACACAGAAAAAGATGCTCGTAGTTAGATGGTTAAGCTACCTTATCATTAATGTATATAAATTAGCTTGGCATCAAAACATAGCTAATAAATCAAATTTTAATCATCTATAAGTTTTAAGTTCTTAACTCTCTCAACGCGGGGTCGGTCAATTTGACCGAGTCACGTGACCTTTTGTACTCGTTTAAAGTTGATATAAATTTAATACTTATAACTCTCTATATATTGGATATATCTTCACGACATTTGGCAGTTTTTTAGTTAATATTACAAGTCATTCACGTACAAAAAGTCATATTTCATAGTGAAATATTTTTAATAAAATGAAATAAAGTTTTGTCCATGAATATATTGAGTATTTGTTTTGAATAGTCTGTGTGCAAAGTAATTTTCATGTTAAAATTAAAAATACTTTTTGTCATCTCAAAAATCTCAAATTTCCATTGTTTAGTCCCTAAAACCTCCTAAATGCATTTCAAACGTTTTTTTTCACAAAATCCTTATAATTTATATGTTATTTTCTCTACCCTATCTTAAAATGGGATCAGTCAATTTGACTGACCTTGTAACC